GAATATTACATTCGGGTACAACAATTGGACGCAGAGCTGAAAACAAATTTGGGTATCAATTCATTAGATTCAATAACCAGACCTAATAAAAATGTTACTGCAGGATTGCCTTTGTCGCCTTTGGAATCGATCTTGAACAAAGCTCAGGTTTTTCGTGGTTTCTTTGTAACGTTCGAATGGTTGTGGTTAAGGATTCCAACTCTTTATATCATTTCGGGGAATCATATAGTCGACACTTGATCGGGCCATTTCACAAGATCAGCAAAAGAATGATCAGGAGGCATTGGATTTATACATCGAGGCTGTAGAATTGTTCATAAAAGCAAGAAATGGTTGGTTGACTGAGTACTACTATCATTAGTAATTCAGAAGTTTTGTGGTCCGAGAATTGCACCAACAGGATTTATTCATTAGAAACGCAGGATGAATCATTTAAATCAGGGTTGAACATCAAGATCAAGCAATTGCTTGAACGCGCTGAAGACTTGAAAGGGCTTCCAGCCAAGCCAAGGCAAACATTACGTATGTACTTAGAGCTTACAAGTTACAACTCTCACGACTATTTATATAATGAAGCCTTAAATACAACAATCTTCAATTAGCCGTACAGTCAGCTAGTCCTAGAAAATTGCCTACATTTCCGTCATCGCATTCAAAACTTACCACTAAAGAAATAGAGGTCCTCAAGAATTCTTCATATATTAACGATAAACTTTTTCTGCCATGGTTGGAAATTGATCTACAAGAAAAGTTTGAATATGACGAACCTTTCATGTATGCCACCTGATTATGTGTGTTATGTGTGGACTTAATAATCTTATTGGGCTACCTAAACTAGTTTTCAAATTTCAGAGACCCGGACGGGACGCTGCCCCTATCCAATTATCAAAAGGTCAATTTCGATTCTTGGAAACGCCCCTCTGAATTTATGGATAACCCAAAGATGATTGCAATGATATCTAGCGAAACCATTCGACAGGTTAAATGACTTTTTATATTGATTCATAAACTTTGATAGCATTCTTAAATTTTATCTTATTGTTATTTAAAATTTTTATCACATGACATAGGAAGTTGTGACTGATTGCACATTTGTTTCTTCACTTTGCGTCTGTGCAGCGTACGAACGAAGATTCAAAAAACAGGTTTCTACATTTACTCAACCATTTATTTTGCTTAAACGAAAGCTCTTTTCTAACGTTTCATTGTAGTTGATCACAGAATGTATTTATCCGAAAAATGAGTATGGATATCCGACATATAATCCCAGTGGAAAGTATATGGTCAAACTTACGTGCAACGGAATTGCTAGAAAAGTAGGTATACTCTGAATGTTATTTAAATGTATACTAGTGTTTATTCATCTATATTTATGTTCGTTTATGCGCAATTTCTCCTAATGGGATTATATGAAATTAGGTTGGTAAGTATATTAACATCTTTTGTAGAAAGAATAAATATTTCATTTAATTCGTTTACTTTTAAACCAGTGGTTGACGACCTACTTCCTATTTCGCGTGATGGAACCCTGATGTGTGCGTTTTCGTCTAACAAGAATGAACTGTGGCCATCTATAATTGAAAAGGCTGTGTGTAAATTAATTCAATCAACTAGTAATTTTTAATCAACTGTAATTGATTCGTCGATAATATCTTTTTTTTTTTTTCTTTACAGTATCTGAAATTAATGGGTGGATACGATTTTCCAGGATCGTAAGTGTCATCGAATTTGTATTTAGTTATTGACACCTAGCAGATTATGTTCGATTTGTTATTTCGGTCATTTCTTATCAGAAATTCCAGCATCGACCTCCAGTAAGTTATAATAGGATTACTTATTTTTGCATGATTTTGATTAGTGCGAGAATAATGATCATGACGACATTTTCTTAGCGCGCTCACTGGATGGATTCCTGAACGTATATTAATAGATGAGTACGTTTTAGTTATTTGCCGTTTATGAAATACCAACTCTATCGACCGAAACAACTGAATAAATACGCTTCAATGAATAAAAAAAAAATTATTATTACAGTGAAAAATTTGATAAAGATGTGACATGGAAACGTTTATTGGATGGACAAGAATACGGTAAGGATGCGGCTAAGGAAATTCCAATATTAAATGTATTTTTTAATATTTACCGACTTTTCGTGTATCCTTTGTTCGCATAGGTGATGTTCTGATAACAATATCAACTGGCGACACGAACGAAAGTGAATCCAATGCTATTGGACTTTTTCCACTCCATGCATACGCCGTGTTAGGTAAAAGTGTGCTCTCATCGAGTTTCGTTAATTGAATTTTTCATTTAACTAAAATCTACGCTACCGAACATTTAGACGTCCAGGAAGTGAACGGATTACGATTATTACGGGTATTACACTTGATCTTTACAGTATATTGGACAATAGTGCAAGCTAGTATCTAATGATTATGTGATATACAATACAAAAGGCTAAAAATCCATGGAGCCATATGAGATGGACTGGTCCCTTCAGCCACCTGGATGAGTCCAGTTGGACACCCGAACTAATCCGCAAATTGAAGTATGATCGTGAGAAAGCGATTCTGGAGGATGATGGTATGTTTATCCTTGTGTACACAGGAAATTATTATCCGAATTTTTAACTAAATGTTTGTTCATTAGGTATTTTCTGGATTGATTTCGATTCAGTGTGTAAGAATTTCAATTCAATTAATATGAATTGGAATCCAGAACTTTTCCCACATAGCTATATTTTACACTCGTGAGTAGCATATCAGACAATTTTATGATACAGACAAATTTCTATTTATTATTTATTTTTTGATTTCCAGGTCCTGGCCTCTGAATCCCTCGGCGAACATGGATAATTTAAATTTAGGTATATTTTCAGGCTCCTTGAGTTTTATATTTGTAGATTAATAAACTCAATGTTTTCGTTATACCAGCCTATAAACCACAATATCGTCTAGAGGTCAAAAATGATGATAGCAAGCCTTCGGCGGTTCGACTGTTGCTATCCAGGCACATTGCCTTTACAGAAGAGAATAAAGATTTTATCACACTCTATGTATATGACGAGACGAATGGTGAAAGAGTTTATTGTTTTGGAAAACCCTGGAAAATGGTACAACACTCTTTGTCATCATGATCACGATTTTTAAATGGATCAGTTGAATACCGTGACTTTAGTCGATTCAATTAATACAATTTTTTTGTTATGTAATAGGGGTCATTTGTAGACAGTCCTCATGTCTTGGTAAAATGTGCTTGTTTTATTCATAAACTTTCGAATGCAATGATATTTATAAGCATGTTAAAATTTTTTAAAAAAGATTCGTTTTAATGCGCCACTGGGGAGGAGCGTCTATACCGTGGTAGTGGATCAGCACGAGAAAAAGAAATCACTGGAATTTTCTCTCAAATCTTACTGCATGTCACCTGTTGCTATGTCAGAAATTCCCTCGAAATATCCAATTGAATTTCAAGTGTGTATATATTTTTATATTTGACATTTTCAAATCAACTCAAAATGCGTCAATTTAAACTTTAGACATCTGGTAAATGGATTAAATTAACGGCCGGAGGAAATTCAGGTTATGTTTCCTACTTAAACAATCCACAATATTGTCTGTCATTACCAACATCCACCAACTTATCATCGGGCAAAGCACGTGTGCTACTCATGCTTGAAGGGCCGCGAACGTTTAAAATAAATGTTACATTGGTTTGGAGTAAAGGCAAAAGAGTTACAAGGTATTTTTTTTGAAAATTTGATATATAATTCTAGTTTCCAACTTTCCGCTAACATCACGGATCTTGATAACAATTCTAGCGTGACACCTAAAGACATCGTAGTTCGATCTTGTGGATATCAGTATGGATTTTGTTACTGCGAGATTGAAGATATACGATGTAAAAAATTAATTAGATTGAATGAACAAATATTGGTGTTTTATTGTTATATATTGACCGGTGGATTTTATTATTTAGTGGGTGATTATACGATAGTAGTGTCCACATTTGAGCCTGACAAGCTTGGCGATTACAAATTGACTGTGGCCTCAAATATCGAATTCAAAATGACTCCTATACCACTAGAAGGCGCGGTATGTAAGATCAGAAGGCTATGGTAATTAATATGTCTTTATCTTATGAATGGACATTTCTTTTTGTAATAATTTAGGGTCTGTTTAAAAAGACGATTCAGGGAAGATGGTTGGTTATCCTTTTGTTTCGCAACTCATCCGACTTTGGTACAAGCTTCTTAATTTGATATTGATTTCATAGGATTTCGGGGTTGAATGCCATGGGTTGCATCAACAACCCAGAATATAAACATAACCCCAGTTATCACCTGGAGATTAAAGAAATGACTACGATAAAGTAATTTTTCGTTCTTTTAGTAAACTCAATCTTGTCGAATCATTAGTAATTTCTTTGTTCATCTCACTTCCTTGCCGTTTAAAGGATTCGACTGCAAACACCGAAGATAAAACCTCTACCAATGGTCAACATTGGGATATTTGAAAAGCATCCAACCAAACTTTTGGGCAGAGAAGTTGGAAGTTCCGGAGTTTATACAAATTATCCACAAGTTATTATTTTGCTATTTTCTTTCGAATTATGACGTTGTTTCTTTTAATAACATCATTTGACCTCACTTTAGGGTGTACTTATGGATGACGTGTTATTGCAACCTCATCATGACGGTAATTGTTGTCATCTGAAAATATTATTTTTTCTAACACTGATCTCAAATGTTAATAATTTTCCGCCACCGTTAAATTTCTCCACAGGCTACATTGTGGTATTCTCAACATGGGAGAAAGACATATCAGGGGAATTCGACGCATATTTATATAGTGACAGGAATATTGTGCCGGTTGAAAACAACCTGTGAAGAATTTCATTTCATCTTATTATTGCTGATTCTGCATTTGAGCGTGTCTTTATGAATAGAATATTTAGAATGTTGTAATATCTGTAGATTTATTGACTCTTAGAGTGTCAATATTTAATTTCAGAACGTGAAATCATAAAAGAACATAAAATCCTCTATACATTGCATCATGTGCCATACTTTATTCGCATTCTCCCAATTTCGCAAACATTGTAATTCTTGCAACTACGTATTTCCATCAAATGGTGACAATAAAAAAAGATAATGGATTTACCCATCAATAATGTCATTGTATTCTTAAAAATATTTTTATAACTTAATGACATTGTACAGTATAATGTTACAAAAGATTTATTATAAACCAATTTTTTTTTCAAGTAATGATTTCATTTGTTATTCTCTATTTTCAATTATTTGATAGATACAAAATATATTTATTATTCGATTCTATTGGAAATTTTAGTAAAAAAAGAAAAAATAAATCAAATTTTCAAATACAATACAATCGAAAGATTCTTAAAATAATTTCATTGAAAAAAATCATCAATAATAATCAAATTAGTATTTTTAATATATTTTATAAAATTTATATTAATTATCATATGTAATACAGTATACAGTATATGAATTTATTTTAATTCAAAAAAATAGATACAGTATATTTGAATCAGGTTTAGTTTTTTCTTTGAAATCTAATTATTATATGATTTGATTATTTTTTATATAGATATGAATATTGATTTTTTTTGAAATTTTCAAACATAAATTAATATTGCTTTAAAAATTAATCTTTTATAATTATTTTTATAGAAAAAAACAAACAATCTTTATATTCAAGAAGATAAACAAGAAACATGTATTGAAAATACATTTCTTAAGTTACATAGATTTATTATAAGATGTAATAATAACACATGGATAAATAATTGATATACCTATCTACTACCCCTTTATTTTGATAATATTGAAAAAAGAGAAAAAATTCAACAATTTAAAAATTAAAAAAAAATCAAAAAAAAAATTATAAAATTATAAAAAATTATATATAGACGATTTTTAACAAAAAAGTTAATACCCTTTAATAAAGTTATTAAACCTGCCTAACTGCTTACCATTCTTACTTTTGGTAAAAATACTAATTAATAATATTTATTAAAATGAAAAACTTCCTTGAAATTTAATTTGATTCTAAAAAAAGTTGTATCTTTTTAAATAAGCAGCTAATACTTGAAGCAAAATTATCTCAAGGATATAGATTATTAATTTCAAGTTAGGTTTTAAGGCAGTTTAAGACTATAAAGTTTTACTTAAATTCTAAAGATCCATAGGTAAAATGATTTAAATGAGATAATATCAATAGGTTAAAATACTGAAACTATCCATCTCTCCAATCTTATAGTTAACTAAAAGAAGAAAAAAAGAAAAAGAAGTTACCCCTCTAAAAATATAGAGATATATATAGTACTTTAGTAAATAATACAAGTAATGTTAAAAGATTTGATGGAAATCTTTTGTAAGTAAAAAATTATTAGAAATTGTTTTTTTGTAAACTTGTATATTATTAGAAATATAAGTTTAGTAATTTAATTCCTATAAAAAAATTGATAGCAAAATTTGTAATCTTAATATAATAAAATAGTCAAATATCAATTAATATTATAGTATAGTTTATATATAAATAATTATATAGATATACAGTATATAAATATTAATATCTTAATAAAAGACTATTAGCCAAAATGATAACTAATATATTTAATAAGTTTTATAGTTTACTAAGTTTATATAATAAATATTATACTATAGTTAAACTATATAAGCTATAATATTTTTTTTTAATTAATTAATTTCAATATATATTATTATTATTTTTTAAACAATTAATATATACTTGTTTTTTTTTTTTTAAGACTGAGTTGTGATACATGCATGAATTTTATAATGTTTTAATTATAATCACAATTATTTATACATAAATAGTCTACTAGCTATTGCTAAAACTAATATATATCTTGTTTTATTAAATATTTTTTGTTAAATATATATAAATTCATTTTATATAAATTTATTACTAGTTTATACCTAATAAAACTATCTAAACTAAGATTATATTTAACTAATGATCAACTTATTGCTCTCTATCCTCCTATATTATTAATATTGAGGTTCTAATAATATAGGTAGAGTACTAATATATCAGGATATGTGTTTTTTATTTTTCTTTTACTAGAAATTCAAAGAACTATATTCTAATATAATTAGTTATGAAACTAATTATATTTATTAAAAAAATCTGTTGGCTTTAATTAAGCCTAAAAAAATTTATTTTAAAAAGAAAACATGTAGAAAAAGAAAATATTTTTTTTTGAAGCTAACAAGAATAATTAAAAAAAGATTAAAAATATAAACAAAAAAATTTTATTTGAAAAAAAGGAGAAAACTACAAACCATCTATCCAAAAGAATATCAAGATCAACTTTTTATGAAAATTTAAAATAAAAGCATCATATAAAAAAAATATGTTGAATTACAGAGACACAAGCCAACCACTTAAGGGGTCACATTATATCACCGATCCAAGTAAAATACTCACAAAATGTCAATGCCATAACACTGGAGCAGATATCATAGTACTCACCAGCGAAGCCATGTCCCTTTGAACCTATTCCAGAAACAACCAACACTATCTAGCCAATACTCCTGAAGAAATAATAGAACAGCTACAAACACATACTGAAGACAACGCCACCCCTACCATCTTGATTAACAACAACCTACCTGGCAAAGATACTCTTCAGCTAAACGAGAACATGGTAGAAGATATCAAGCAGATGATATCGAATATACGTCCCTTCTCAATAATAGACCTTTCAACAAAAGACGATCTAGTCTTCATAGCAAACAAAGAAATTAATTTAGCTCTGCACTCAGCTTACAACCAACCTATCAACGTATTGCTAACGATCATAGGACTCCTAGCAGCCATTAAGGAACAGACCTACGTAACTATCAACACTCCATTTACACTGCGGCTGGACACCCCAAGCTACTTTAATCGTAGAATCAAAATCTCATATAGCCACCTAACTAACTGTATTAACAAGCTTTGCACTACGAAAAAGATTAGACTAACCCTTTGTAAACAGACCAGCATCCTGGTACCTCAGGAAAGCGATAACATTATTTCAATCGACAACATCCTAGCAATCAACAATTATATAACGAGCCCTAGAATTAAAAACAGTTGGAGCATGGGACCAACACACTGGATCAAAAGAGTTCAACAAACATATAGAATAGTAGACCTCATTAATAGCTCAACTGTAAAAGAAAGGTGGAACCAAACACTTGACTTGAAAACCCTTCAAACACTCTACTTAGCCAACAAGCTCCTCATTAAAAAGGACAGGCTCAGCTGCTCATCCTTGCTAGCATTTAGATGCAAAATACTCAACGGCACTCTTCCCACAAGACAATTATTACATGAGAGATACCCAGACTTGTATAAAAACAACCTCTGCCCCAGATGCCTGGTTGTACCTGAGACACAAAAACACATATTTGAGTGCTATAAAAACGCAATGGCGTTTGACGAAATCGAAAACAAAATCATAAACAAAATTAAAAAACTCTTACCTAAAAGCAAGTCCAAAACAATGGTAGTGGAATCAGTTCATTACTTACAAACCCTGAGTATCAATAGAAAATCGAATCTCGAAGGCTTAGCATGTGGAATGTCGACCCTTGGAATCCAGCTGTCAAAAAAAGCACAAGCCAAGTTAACGAACTCTACTCTCAAACTCCTGTACACATCAGTATGGTTACCAAGATCCGCAACAGCAAATACCTCAATAACCTCGGGTATTAGATGGAAAAAATCTACACCAAAATCCACAATTACCAAACTGAAAGGATCACCTATTACACAATCAGACTTGTTTGACAAAATTATCACATACTCCAACTCACAACAAATAGACCAAATGAACGTACTAAAGTCTCAAGATCTTATCTTAATTCTGGAAGGGCATTAACCATCCAGCACTAACGCTAATCCAATCTACATTAAGTGTAAGGAGGATCGCTTTAGTTAGCATCGTAGATAGGTTAACATTAATTTAGAGTAATTTTCTGTAAAGATGTTTGATGTAACTCATGTATCATATATATACAATTTAATAAAGACTTGCATCTAATGCCCTTTTACGATAAAAAAAAAAAAAAAAAAAAAATATGTTGAATTGGAAAAATTCAATGTTTTTTTTTTTTAAAGTGAAATGTGTGCAAAGCATGTAATCTTTATTGATACATTTTTATATCCAGACAAATATCAAATGTTTTTATAAATTAATTGGAAATCAGTTGGTACATGGATATCCATTATATCTCTACAGTTAATTTGTAAATTAACATTGCATTAATATTTATATTGCTATAAGACTAGCTATACCAACCACTTATAACCTAACTATGCATTTATTTAAACACCTGGAGATATGTCCACATGTCAGATGGGACTTTTTATAGGAGAGAATCCTACTATTAGTTTAAAACCCACTTAACCTACTAAGTTTATATTGCAGAGAACAGTGTAAGTATGGAATGTTATTATAGAAATTAACCCAGTCATTTCAATCACCTGTTATCACTGATTCTTGGGATGTGCTGCTAGCATAGCGCAACACTACTATTTTCACCACCTGTGGAACTGGCATTTTTGCTTGGATTCCAATTTAATCTTGTCAATTCTCATCAGACTTACTTGGTCTTAACAATTTTTGCCTGGACTGTCACCTCTTGTAATTGACAACCTTTTGCCCTTTCAGTCCATTTAAGTTTATATAAATATCACTTATGGGATAGATCTTTAAGCTTTAGATTGGAATAGAGCAGCTTAGGATTAATCTCTTTGGGTTGTGTGACAAAGTCTGCTGTTACCAGTTTGGGTTGAGATTTTTGTGAACTTTTATCAGAGTTAGACTAGAAGCTTTTCCTTGTGCAACCTTTTATGCTTTGACCTATTTTTAGCTTACAATTGTTGGGAAGACCAGAGGTTCCATTTTCATGCAGCCTAATTAAATTTGGATGCGATAAGGATTATTGAATATGATATATGCAGAATATCCAGTAAATTTATATATAAAGGTAAATACACTTTTGTCCTCTGTGAGTATTGAACTAGGGACATGCGTTTGGTAACCTGTGAGCACTACCCACTATGTTATTGATCCACAGATCTTAGAAAAATTCAATATATACCATTGTTGTGTTTTAAATATATATATAATCACTTATATTTTTTATATCTTCTTGCAAATCTTTATCTTGTTCAAAAAATTTTTAATTAAGATTAGTTATTTGCTTTCTTATTTAAGTGGATGCCATCATTGCTATCTATTATAACCAGATAAAGTTCAATTATAAAATATTTAGTTTTCAAACAAATAAAATTAAATATTGCATCAGAGCTAAAGATTGTAAAAAGTAAGTAAAGAATATTAAGATCATTTATTTTTTGTTATTATTATATATTCCAGTTGTGTTTTTGTGAATATTAGCCTATATCTTTTAACTGTATAAAAAATACTATCTGACTTTTTAAATCATTAAGAAGAATAGATAAAGCCTTAATGATACTATCTGTTTTGTTATTAAAGACACTTGTTTGGAAATAAAAGGAGTTGTTTTCAGCTTTATAACTTTTTTACTAGCAAGAGCTTATCTTTAAAGAAAGTATAGTGTGGTACTGCTAATCCAGAGATATTGTAAGTTGTGTTTCTTTGCAGAAAATTTTTTTTTTATTATTAAAGAAAAGTATTTTCTAAAAAAGAAATTTTTAAGAAATGTGAGGTAAATGGAAAAAAGATATATTTTTTTGAATATATATTATTATATATACAATAAAAATTATTTTGTTATTGATTTAATTTCAAATATTTAAAAACAATTATATTATATTTCAATTATTTATAGTAACTCAATTAATTGTATCAAATAATTTTATTAATTATATTAAGAATTTATAAATTTTTATTAAATAAATATATATTATATTTAATCAATAATATTAATATAAAAATAAAATTTATATTGTTACACTTGATTTTTACCCAAGATTTTCAATATCCCTTGTTCAATTCTCATTAGTATTGATTCTTGAAATGTTGGCTGTTTTAAAATAGTTTTGTATTACAGATCTGTTACTGTATTATTGTATTTATTGCATCTTTACCATTTCTAGAATTTATTTTATATTTACTTCCTATATTATCTTTACCAAAGTATATATCTATATAAATGCTAACATAATTGAATATTTCAACAAAAATAGTATCTATATCTTAGTTTGTATTTTTACCATAGCATATATTTATTCTGTACGAAAATATTATAACTTAAACATGTATATAAAGATTTCAATTCTGCCTAAGAATTGGTAGGCTTGAACTTATATTTTATCAAATAAATATCTTGACCTTTATAAAACAAATCACTATTGCCTTTTTCACCTGACCTTATATATCTCAGAATTGTACTAATTTGTATGTCTCTAGGAACTTTAGTATACTATATTGGTCCTGTTCATTTAAAGTGACTTCTTGCTACTAGTTCTCTGTCTTTATCTTTTTTCTGAGGTAGAAATGATATATAACAATATGTTTAATAAAATTGAAAAAATTTTTAAATTCAAATAATTATTTTTTTAATTTTTTAATTTTTAAAAAAAAAGAAAAATATATTTTTTAATATAATTTTTTTTTAGTAAAATATTTTATTATTTTTTTTAAAATATAAATATGCAATAAAATATATTTTTTATTTATAGATATTAAATTATACTATATAATAGAAATTATTATTAAGAGATATTCTTAAAACTTATACAAGTTAGTAATTATACATACTACTTTATACAAATTATCTTTAACAACTACTTTTTTTTTATATCTTCAGTCCTATTGCTTAACAATTATTAATTATAATATAAAAAGCAAATTGATAGAAGGTAGAAATTCTATTATTAGTTTAAATTATTTAAACTTGTTATTGGTCTGATTTAAAGAAGATAAGTTTTAATTAGAAAGATTGATTCAAAATTTTCTATTACCTTATTACTTAAATCTTTTACTTTTATATATTGTATATATAATATATATATTGTAAGAGGGACCAAAAAATTAGATAGATTTAACGTATGTCATCCTCACCCAATTGGGGTTTAATTGGGGCTTAAGGGATTTTTGGGATTTTAGGGATTTTTGGGATTTTTGAGATTTCTTAACATGTATATTGTTAACCTATTTAATAAACCTTAAAATTAAATAGATCAACGGTCAACAGTAGCAGGGAACAACTTAATTTAGAGAAAAATAGCCTCAGTTGTGGTATACTAGTGTTGGTAAGGTGAAGGAATTGGGCAAGGTTTATTT